GATAAAACTGTTGCTTTGAACTTTTCTCGGCCTGGTCGTTCACAGTCAGGTTCAGCACTTTCATCTGCTTGTTTTTTTCTTTTTCCTTGCCTGTGTGTGTCCACTTTGTAGTGCTGAGACACAGTTGGAGAGATGTTTTTTGCATTACTCTCAAACTTCAAAATCATCCTGTAGGCTGGCCAAATAATCCCTCAATGAGCTGATCAAAGTAACAGTGTTACGCAAATCTAGTTCAACTGTCATGGAGGGGTCCGCGGGTGTGGTGACTGGGACATCATGGCTAATTCCCAGGGTGTTAGTGGTACAACATACTGGCTTTTTGGGTGGCTGAAGTGTCGGTCCCTCTGTCTCAGACTCCTGACCTAAGTGAGATTGTGAGGCATGGTCATAGTCAACCTAGCCGCTGTCTTTGTCATGGCTAAGGCTAGCTGTAGCTACAGCTCCCATTGCAGTATCAACGATGCCAACATTAATGTTAGCCTTCAGCCCGTTGTCAAGAACAGATTCCGCAACCTTGAAAAATCCTGTCAATTTAGGAATTTTCTTGAACAGCTTGGCAATGCTGTTCTTTCAGTCGTTGTGCTTTTCCTTTTTCCATTTCCTTTCTGACATTTTGCCGCTATGCTATCTAGTAACAGTGAATGACGTATCATTTGAAAACAAAACTGACCTTATGAACCCGGCCACATGATGGCAGCTGATTGGGTAAATGTGTCTTATAACTATCCATTCAGCGACTTAATTTTTGTTAATGTTTATAAGGGCCCTAATAGGACGCAAGTTTTTTTTCAGTTGTAGTTAACTAAAAATAATTAAAAAATAGTCTGGCCAGTCAGGATCCAGATAGATGTTATAATGATGTCCATGGATATTAAACGGATGGAGTTCTGCTTTTGTATTTTAATGATCTGATGATTATATTTGATATTTATTCATGACCAATATATGCTTCATATGTTGAACTTACCCAAATATACAGTACACATTGAGTGGGCTGAAAAAAGGAACTCAGGAGCCCACTCATACTTCTTCGACCCCAGATCCTACCTCTTCAGCCCCTCCTAAGATCATGTTCTAGCTTATGACTCTGGAATTGAATCAATGTCTGTTTGTTCACTTAGCACACACATTTTCCACAGCACTGGAATGTCATCAACACATTTTCAGATGGAAAATAACGAAGGAGTAGAAATTCAACTCGATGCCGTGTTCACACCAGATTATTCATTACCACTATGGTGTTTTTCTTTCAGTGCCAAAGTGTGTTTTTTTCCTGTCAGAAGTATGAGCATGGGTAATGTGTCTGCCAGCCCTAGTGCACATTAATCACCAGGTCCAACTACAAGACTGCTCTCATTCCTCTCTCTTTTCCCTCGATAAGATGGTGAACTCCCAGACATTCCCAACAGTTACAACCTGTCCTCTGCAGTTATCACCTCAACCTAGGACATTAAGAGCAGCTATATATATTAATTCTCCCGTAGAGACAACATTGGACCTTCTGCATCCAAATGTGTCGTTCTGGTGTTCCACACATTCACAAAGCGGTTAAACCATTGATAATATATAAAATGGACAGAGCTTCTGGGTCTGTGATGCTCACGCAAAGTGTCTTAAAACTGCATTTTATGTAATAAATGCAGTAAAACCCAGACACCATGGAGTCTTACAGAAAAATTTACCTACTTCTCACTTGATTTATCAGCTTAGTAAACGGTTTCCTAATGAGCTGATGGTCTCAAATTCTGTAGTCTTCTTTTCCTACAGCATGATTTTCATTTAGTAAATAATGGTCTCATTTAGAGTAAAACCTTGTGATTGACAAGTCGTTCTCAGTGAGTCTGTCGAGCTCAACACACAAAACTCGGATCAAACTAGGCAGTGCTGATCAAATATGAATCAAAATGATATTACTGCATTGCCTATTTTTGGGCTAAAATTGTTTCACAGACATTTAGTGTTTCTTTCCTGCTACGGACGAGTTGAAACTGTGCAGCCAATGAGAGCAGCTAAACTCACAGTATCACCTCAGCTGGCTCCGTCAAACTGTTATGTTGATGACCATAACGCCAGACTCAATTTAAGTCAAAATTCAGTCAAATGTAAAATATGGTCACAATCTCCCCTTGTCCTGAGTTATGGTGTTGAATAATGGCCAAATGACCTTATGATGTCATAGTGAAGCTGACATTGTGAAGTCCACAAAAATGGGAAGGACAGACGGATGGCTGGACAGATGTAAACAGGTGCCTCAATGTTTGGAAGTTAAACTTTTAATTTTAATCTCTCTTCATTTCATCTTATTTGTTTTGTTGAGATTTAGGCTAAAATTACTTTCCCCATTAGTTTTTCCCCATGCAGTTTTAAGTATTGGATGTCAGTAATGCATCGAAAAAAAATTCTTCAAAGGGGCAGTTCTGCTAACTCATTGGTACTTCTTAAAAAGCATGCACAAAGTGTTGCATTCTGGACAATAGGGTAGTGTGCCTTATCTCCTGCCAAGAGCTTACACTGCAGTTTCTTTTCCTTTGACAGGGTACACACAGGTTCTGCGCAGACATTGAGCAAGCTTCTGGGAAACACTCTGATTAGAAAACAGTCACCTTGCGAATGTAGATGTCTCACATCTATGATTAAATTCAGTACTTTCCTCAGTAGTACCATTTTGTGTCAGTGAACAGACTGAATTTTCCTGGTCTGATATCCATTTAAAAAGAGTTTCCTTTATAATGGCATATAATCTTCTTAGTATATAATACTATCATCAAAATACAGGGGTAATCATTGGCAATCAGCACAGCACGTCTCTCTGAGGCAGAGAAGACAATGACATACAAATTAAAGAACTGAGTGATGGCCCATTATCTACGATCTTTAACTGTGCCATCCATTAATTATCCTAATAACATTGGCAAAAACTGTCCTCTTGCACCAACTTGAGGTTGACAGTTGTGGTTTTGAGTGAACTATTCAGTTTGACTTGTTTGACTTGAACTGTTTGATGGAACACTAGATTATTGACAATCTGTAAATCTGGCATATGGCATATTGAGCATTGTGATCCGATCACTAAAACCACTTGCCAAGGTGGTCTGGGACACATTTTACCACATATCTTTTGTAGTGTAAGTGCTAATGGGCCATGTTGAACACCGCCTCCTCAACTGACGTAGTACAGATAGCCTGTTCGGTTCACTGTAATGTAAATTATGTGTTTGGGCTCTTTTACCTGCCAAGGTAAGCAGCAGATGTCCATGAACACACTGTTGGTTTCAACTGGTTTCACTACTGAACTAGGAACCACAATTACCCCAGACTCCCTTAAAAAATCTCTGCTCGTCATTGAGTGAGGAGAAACTTTATAAACTGTGAAACGCTGTCTACAGATTCAGATTCAGGAAATGTTATTTCTTACTTAGTTATTTTCCAGCGTGTTGGCTAGACGGTCCACCTCTCCACGGCCGTCCACTGTGACTGTTGGACTGACAGCCTGTCAGCAGCCTGGCAGCAGGAGAGACGCGAGCAGGACACACACTTTTACTTTCTCCAACTCCTTTCTCTGCTTTTCTTCATTACCTGTGATGTGAAATCATCAGATTTCCACACAGTGGAAAAAGCAAAAGTGTGAGTCCTGCTCGTAAAATTCAGTTATATAATCCCACAGCACACCAGCGTCTCTCCTGCTGCTGATAGCGCAGGTTAAAGCGACAGGCAAGTGTGGCACAGAACCGAAAAAAGGGACAGTAATAATGGACATTGACTGACAAAATTGTGAGTAGGGTACAGTCCTATAAAAGGGTTTCACTTGTGATCAGATCACTCAAGATGCATGTTAATACCAGGCGTAAACAGACTGTTTGATATGTGGGATCAAGGATCCAACTGTAAATGTGAGATTAGTGGACAACTTGCTCTACCTTAAGATCAGTTTGAACGGTCAGTAAGTGACATGAACATTTCTATCAGCAAGCTAATTTGAGGAGTTGTACCACCCCTGTGTGCTATTCTACAGTCACACACAATTCTGATACACACTATATCAATAATATCTTCTGTGAATGTCAAAGAGCATGTCTTGGAAACGAAATAAACTGTTCCAATCAGCCTTTCCAAAGTCCTCCATGTGGCTGCTGTTAATGGTTATTAATCTGCTGAGTTTGAGTTGGGTAGAAAGTGTGTATTTGTCCTGAGCCTCTGCAGCTGGTCTGAGAGGAGCTGACCGGATGGACGTTGGAACATAATGGCCTGGCTATTCACCAAAAATAAAGCAGTTTGAATGAAAGGAAAGAGGCTGTCGCAAAGACAGGAAAACAATCAGTGTGGAGGAAACGCACTGCAATGTTATCCTTGTTCTTTACAGAGAGACTTAAGGATAACATTATGTGGTGTTTGTATGTTTTATTGCACCCCTTTGCTTACAGTTGGTAAGTCCTAAAGCAAAAGCGAGAGAGTTTATTTGCTTGAGAGGACAAGCTAAAATATCAGCTAACGTAGCGATATTTTTTAAAACAAACAAGATGGTTAAATGCCAACATTCATTCTGGAACTTACTCATTCCTTCCTGTAGCAACTTGAGAGCTAGCCGACAGAAAATTATGTTACATCCACATCCACAGCACTTAATAAATTTACATTAGTTTACCTCTTTAGAAATGTCAACATGCTGCCTGCATGTTTTTTCAGTTTGTCCCAGCTGCTGTATTGCTGCTTCTAGTCTAATTCTCTCTCAGTTTCTTTCAAGAACTGGTGATGTCAGATAGCATTTGTGACAAAGAAGTAATGTTACTGAATGTAACATACTTAATAGCAACATGTCAGACTGATCAAATCAATGTCTGTAGTAATATTTATATTGTCCAGTCAAAGTGTCCTCACTATGGGTGGGTGTGGGTTTTGTATTGAGCACTGAATGTAACCCTGACATTCAACAAGGCACGTTGCGTCTACGGTTTGGCTTTGTGACCCACGTGTCTTCATATCCCACAGAGAGCGCTTTAGAAGGGATAGCGTTGTTTGATTGGGTATTTTGTACCTAAAAATGATACAAAACGCTCAAAATTTCCTCTAACCTGTCTCTGACTGATTGACTTCTGGCCTGGTGCCACAAATTTATGCACACTGCATTTTATTTTGAAAATTGACCGAATTCTCTATGGCCAACTATTAGCTTGATATGTCAGGACCCTTGAGTATGATGGTATCACGTCAGGAGCTCATTTCAGTAATTTGAATTGAAATTAATGAATTATCCGTAGTGAATTTCATGGCAATGTGGACAAGTAATTGTTACCAAAGTTTTTTTTTTTTTAGAACAGTGAACCAATATATATGGCAACGATGTTTACTTTCTGTTTCTTTACTTTTGCTGCCCTGTAATGTATACACCACACAATTGTGTCTTAATAATGCATTAGCAGCTGTCTTCCTGCTCAGCCCTGGATGAAGTCTAGACACAACTAGACACAGCCTCCGGTGGAGTGTGTTATACAACCATCTAGTTTCAAGCACAGCCACAGCCAACTACCACTGCCTAGGGGCTGACTAGATTGTGTGTGCGCTGGAGAGGGAATGAGAGATAGAGATTGTCAGCATGAGCGTACATGCTGGTACAGCACAAGGTAAGGCGAGGTAAGAAACACTGAACTCTGCAGAATGAAAAAAATCCTCTGCTGTCAAAACAAATAGTTCTTTTGGGCTTCGTCGGCTGACACCCGCCGTCTCTACAGGTCCCCACCCAGTCTGTGATGATGGCAGGGGGCAGGACTCGGTCTGCCAGCGCTGGCTGCCTGCGAAGGTCATGTAGAAGACACCACTGGAGTATAAATCAGGTCAAAGCCTCCAGTTGTGGCCTGCAGGAGAGCATGTTGTTAGAGGAACGCAGCAGGCAGCAGGAGATGAGATTGGCCTCGCTCTCATGTGTGAAAACAAGCTCAAATGTAAACCTTCAGCTACTGCACTTATATATTAGGCCAGTATTGGCCTGAAAAGATATCTGCTTTTAACAGTGTCTGCCTATAGAGGCCAAGAGCAGCTGTGGTTGCTAATAATTCTCATAATTTTCCCTTCCAAAGATATATTATATCAAGGTAATGATTATATTATCTTGTTAGTAGTCAAAAAGTATAGCAGACTGTTTTATGTTGCCGCAGTTTCACCATCTTTCACCATCAACATGTATATTTTTTCTCAGGAGTTGATGTTGAATAAACCAGAGCTGTAAGTGGCCACAGGCAGCGTTCATCAAAAATGCTACTTACACAACTAGTAGAGCTGGTGTCCCATGTACCAAGACTGAGTCCTTGCTGCAGCAGCCCAGGGTTTGAGTCTATCTTCAGCTGTGCTATCCAATAAAGGCAAAAAGGACTTGATACTGACTAGGACACTGATATCTGTTAAACCTTAGTCTGAACATTAGTCTAATGCCTGACAGTCCAAAAGCTGCCAAAGCTTCACAGGGGTTGTGAGGCTTAATTGACTTTAAGAGCTGTAAGAAAACACCACTATATACACAGTCTGCCATTTTTAATTTTTGTAAAGAAAACTAAATGAATTTTTAAAGTTTAGATTAATTGAGATCTAAACATTGAATACCTGAACACAAGCTAGATTCTCAGAGCCTTGTCCTGCATTAGAAAAGTATGCAGTCAAAACAACCAAAGAGCTAATAGCTAACAATGGGCCCATGTGAGGAGAAAAAAGTACATACGTTGTAAAACCTGGTGAGTTATTTCAACTCATACTGTTTGAGGAAACCGATTGCTTTAAACAATAACAATTTAAGCATGAAAGAAATTTGATTTTGAGTAGAAGTAACTCAAGTGTTTATTGTGATGGTAACTTGGGTAAATTAAGTTAACTGTACCAATTCCATTCAGTTAATTGAAGTTATACTCATATGCAGTAACTAATTTAAAATGTTTGAACAGAATTTTTAGTTGAATTTACTCAGTTTTCTTCCATTAAAGCAAATTATTACATTACCTGTCAAAACAGCTGGCATACGATGAACACAATTTATAATAAAAGTATTATGTCAAAATGGTTTTTCATGTGACTAACATAAAATCTTTACACTTTGGGAAATCATTAAGAATTATTTGGTTGCATACTTGGGCCTATGATGATAAACTAAAATTCAAATAAAAATTCTAAGCTATATACAGCATTACAATGCTAAAGTCAACTTCAAAAAACGAGTAAATGGAATAAACTGGAATTATACTGCCAGTTAAAATGCTGCAATACTGAGATGTTACTTCAACAGTTAATTTTTGAGTTAATTTGTTGTGGGGGAATCATTTATGTTAATTTACTTATTTTATTAAGATGTGTTATTAAATATTAACAGGTATTCTGTTCAAAATTAATCCAAGTTTTTACACAAACTTCATGTAGTTATTGCGTTCACTGTTCATTGTACAGTTTATCAGTTCTGTACTATTATTGTTATATGCATTGAATATAATATGAAATATCCATTAAATATGTCATGTCGTTGTTGTGAGTTAATTCTGTGACAGAAGAGGGTTCCCTTGTACTGCTGTAAGTTGTTGTATTTCAGTGTACAGTGAGAGCCTGCTGGTGTTGGTGGAATGTGTGTTGTACATATAGAATGACTTGAGTGTATTATTACTGTATGTGTTTGGCAAATCTGTCATTGACAGTAGAGGAGTTAAAATATGCCTGGAATTAAATCAGCAGCTTGTTGACAGGTCACATGCAGCAAAGCACTGACAGCAGTAGTGAAACACTGCCAACAAGACACACTTGTGTTATTAATAGCAATGACAGCACAGATTCAGTCCCCACTGCAAAGCTAAGCTAAGGATAGGGTATAAGGTTAAGGGCTGATGTTTTTGACATGTGGACTTTCTATGATTACCTCACTAGAAGTTAATACAGTCATGATTTGTGTCTTCTACTATCCATTTTTTTTCTTTTCAAACACTGTGGGAATCCAGAAAGGTACAAAAAGTAATACACTGGGCCTCATGCAAGAACCACTTGTACAAACAGGTTCATTCCTAAGTGGCATGCATAAAGAACTTGTGGCACTCACATTTTTTGTTTTTCTGACAAACCTGCCATGTACAACAACTTTTCCAAAAAGTGATGGAAACTTGTCTGGAGATATTATTATAATGCCTTACTCTAAATTAACTTAGGGTTTAAGTATATAAGACTTAAACAATACAAGGATACAGGGTAATATAATTGTCATCAACAATGCAGGTTTGTATAATGAAATTTAGATTGTAGTTCCCTTTATGCTACTCATAAAAACAAAAAAAACAAAAAAATGGTATTCAGTAACTTTGATTAGTAAGTCATGAAAATCAATCAAAAAAGCTTTCACTATATCCTGAGAGTAGTCCGTGAGACAATCTGTGAAAAAATCTGGTCCTAGTGCTCCTAATGACATTTGCAAGAATCTACCGGGCCTAAACGAAAACAACCAATCAGAATCAAAATCAGGCCCGGTTAATTCTTGCAAATGCCATTAGGAGGAAGAAGGAACCAGATTTTTTTTACAGATTATCTGTTCCCATGTAACTACTGTCAAAAGAGATATGGGAAAGTTTCAGCAAATAATGACCAGCTACTATTCTACTTTTTATTAATTTACCGCTGCAGGCTTTAAAGGAACTGTGTGTAGGATTTAATGGCATCTAGCAGTGAAGTTTCAGATTGCAACTAACTGAACACTGCTCGAGTTCGTATTTGACAACCTGGGAATGAGAATGGGCAATGAAGTGTGTAGGAGAAATTACAGTGGTTGCAAAAAAAACAAAGGGGCCTATCTACATAAGATCCGTAATGTTACTAGAGATCTAGAACTCCATTAGGAACCTTTGAAAGGAACAAAAACCCACTCTGTCATGCTCTGGGTCCAGACTGCTACAGAAATGGATGTTATTTCAGTTGACACAGCTGACGCAAACATGCCAAACAGTGTATGAGTAAGGGATTTCAGATTGAGGGCAGAAAAAGGCTGACCTGAGGAGAGGGTAGATGAGTTCAACATTAATACATGCTGTATCGTATTCAGTGTGACATTACTCACATCCACCTCCCTGGGCTGTTTCTGTTGGAGTCAGATGTAATATCTGAGAAAACGTCCTATGAAGTAAAATTTCCACGTGTGTTTTTACTTAAAGGTCATTAGTGTATAATTACCTGAAAATAAGAATCGTTGTTTTTTGTTACCATTGCTATCAGTCTGATACTTTTTGTTTGTTTAGTAAAATCCTTTAATACTGTGTTTCTGTGTCACAAATAGGATGGTACCCTCTATGTTGGGGCTGTTTGGACTGATGTTTGGCAGATTTTTCTACCAGCATTACATCAACCAAACAATGGCCTTTTTTTTGCGCCAGGGAAGGGTCACTGCCCAGAAATACGTTGGTGAAAAGATTGTCAGATCTACAGAATACAGGTTGTAGTTTAGGGCGGATGTCTGTTGTGAAGGCAGTGACACCGACAGCAGAGAGGAGTGGGGGTGAGCTCTCAGGAGACAGTTGGAGTTCTAATGTCAGGTGTTTACACAGAAAGCTCTGTCTCCCACTGTGTGCTCCTCCACCTGCTCTGCTGGTTAGAGAGAGATTCATCTCCGTTCAGCTGTTGCTCACCAGGAGATGGGTGAAGGAAGCTCTATCCTGCTGCTAAACTCCCCCTCCTTACCCCTACCCCTCCAACAGCTCTCCCCCCTAGAGAGACATTACAAGTAGGTCATATGTGTGTACATGCTTCTTGTGTGTACCACTGGAGAGTGCATTGGTTTCCTCTGTTATTAACGGATAATAGAGGATATACTGGTAAACAGATAAGACCCTATCACTATTCTTCTAGTGATAAGCTGCTGTATGAAGCCTCGAGTTTGGCATTAGGGTCGAAAATTGATTCTCTATGTCAATTCCGTCTTCCTGTCAATACGATCTGTTTCCATCAAAAAAAGACCAGCCGTGTAT